TGTCCCAATAATTACAGAGGGCACTCTATTTGAATAATGGCTTTTAACAATAATGATTTGACTATGAGGGAATTTTCAAGGAGTTTCAGAACACCTAGTGCTAGCCGGTGGAATTTGATTGATGGAAGATGTGTGAGGGGGGAAAAGTAAAGGTGTGAGGTCAGTGTGTGTGGTGGTGTGCGTGATTTTGTGTGGTGTGTGTGTATTGGTGTATGTGGTGTGCGTGGTGGTGAGGTAATGACTGGGTTAGGGATGGAGGTGGTGTGAGGTTAGAGATAAGAGGAATTCAAAGGAAATGATGTCACCTCATTAAAACAGTTCTGCTCTTATTGGCACATAGTGGAGGAGAAGGAGGGAGAGACACAGATGTATGAAGTGCTGTTGCGCCAAACACTTTTTGATATGATTTTCCTGGATACTGAAGTGTGTGTGTGTCTGTTCCTGCATGGTTACGTGTGTGTGCTTGTGTGTGTTTTATAGGGTGAGAGGGGACTTTCTGGGCCACCTGGAATCCAAGGAGAAACTGGGATCGGGCTTCCTGGACCCAAGGTATCCCTCCATCATCCAATTGTTTTGGAAAATGAGGTAATTACATTTCCCCCCAACCACCTGTTGTATCTCACCTCGCGGGTGTTCCACTCTCTCTGCAGGGTGATGTGGGGTTCCAGGGGCGACTGGGGCCTCCGGGACCACCTGGCTTAGGGGAACCTGGACTACCGGTGAGTTAGCACGGCCACAATGTACGCATACTCCGTTTAGGATGTTCACGATGCCAATTGCACCATTGAATATGGGTCAAATCTGTATGAATACTCATAAATGACTCAGTGAAATGTGTTTTCATGTAGCTGTCTATGGAGTCTATGCCTATTCAAGTCTGTTCACCATTGGTTGATTTCTTTGTTTGTGTTTCACAGGGGCCTCAAGGGCCACAGGGCGTCCAAGGAGAGAAGGGTCCTATAGGAGAAGGCTTTGACGGACCAAAGGTATGACTGAGGGTCTGCAGATGTGTAATTCATGAATTGTATTTAAAGTCTCGGTCTGGGCTCCAGATCTGTGGCTACAAAACCAGGAACATCACATGGATGATGCTTACAGGAGAAAACACAGCGCCATAAAAGTCCATCTGAATTACACCTCTATTTGGTATCACAGTGTCACACGCAATGGAACGATCAATCAGTGATTTCTTATTCTTATTCTACAACGGAGTAACTTCCAGCATGCAGGAAGGCGAAGTTCAGAGTTCAAATGGACATCATGTGAACCAATACAGCCCTTGGGCCCTGGGCTGGGAAACCCCCAGAAGCTATCCAGAACCCCTGTAGAACATGAAAGGAGTGAGTCACTCAGCTGAGACCAGAAAGAAAGAATGAGTCCATCTGCTTTTCACTCGGTTGCTCAGGCACACATGGGCTACATCTGCCCAAACCAGACCTCTCTCTTTCTCCCTGCTCTAACACATCCTCTGAAATCAAGTGTTACCAGGATACGGCTATGCTATTTGCATTTCCGTGCGTGTCTTGCCTTCATAAAGATAGAATGTTATATTGTAGCCTACGCTCTTGTTGTGACTTGTGAGAGAATGGTCGTAATTGTGACAATGCAAACACGCCATTCCTATACAGAGAGAGCTGTGTTACGGAATTGACAGTTTTATATAGAGCTTGCCTACTTAGCGACAAGGAAAACATTTTGCTTCTAGTGGCAGGTGAGGTAACATGATCAACCATTGTTTTGATCTTTCCTGAACGGTCTGGGTAAACAACGCATTATTACGTTTTGGGAATGCACTTAAGTAACACCATGCCAAATGTAATCTCTGTTTGGCAAAGTTGCAACTTCGACTCATAATATTCTAGTCTACTGACTGAAGAAATACGTCCTTTATTGCATTATTTAATTGAAACCTCAGTCTCCTCAAAGATCATATCATTAGAGATATTTATCTGGCAGTTTACCCTGGAGAGGGTGATGGTGTGACTTTTCATCAGTCATCTAGAAGCTTCTACTGTTAGAGATGGCCTCAAGGCTTTTACTTTCCTGCATTGAGATTGACCCCTAGACACACAGCTCTGGTTATGAGCAGCAGTGCTCCATTGTTAGTCACAAGTTCTGACAAGCTCCAGATCCAGGAGAGCTGAAAAGCTTTTTACTACTACCCTTGTCATCAACACCTGCTGGGGTGAAGAATTTAGGATTATGGGGGATTCATGCGTCAATTATATCTAAGCTCCGTTGCAGTTATGGTCCTCTGTTGTTTTTATTTTATTTTTTTATTTCACCTTTATTTAACCAGGTAAGCCAGTTGAGAACAGGTTCTCATTTACAACTGCGACCTGGCCAAGATAAAGCAAAGTAGTGCAATAAAAACAACACAGAGTTACATATGGGGTAAAAAACATAAAGTCAGAAATACAACAGAAAATATATATACAGTGTTTGCAAATGTAGCAAGTTATGGAGGTAAGGCAATAAATAGGCTATAGTGCAGAATAATTACAATAGTATTAACACTGGAATGCTAGATGTGCAAGAGATTATGTGCAAATAGAGATACTGGGGTGCAAAAGAGCAAAATAAATAACAATATAGGGATGAGGTAGTTGGGTGGGCTAATTTCAGATGGGCTATGTACAGGTGCAGTGATCGGTAAGGTGCTCTGACAACTGATGCTTAAAGTTATTGAGGGAGATAAGAGTCTCCAGCATCAGAGATTTTTGCAATTCGTTCCAGTCATTCCTGTAGCTCAATTGGTAGAGCATGGCGCTTGTAACGCCAGGGTAGTGGGTTCGATCCCCGGGACCACCCATACGTAAAAATGTATGCGCACATGACTGTAAGTCGCTTTGGATAAAAGCGTCTGCTAAATGGCATATTATTATTATTATATTATGTTCTGTTGCTGGTTTGTCCTTAGGCATTTCTAATGCTAATGAGCTGCAGAGATTATTTTCCCCAGACCTGAAGTAACCTCTGAGGTCATGTTTTACATACAGTCTGGCACTGACCAACACAGCTCAGGTTTCTCTCTCGTTCTTGAGAGGAGAGAGAGGAGAGATGAAGAAGAGAGAGGAGAGAGAGAGAGAGAGAGAACGAGAGAGAGAGAGCACAGAGAAAAAAGGAGAGAAAAAAAAGACCTGAGCGCAGCGTAATAGAATAAGGACTCAGGAGTTATCAGTAACCGAACAAAAGGAGCAATAAGAAGAGAATTGAGAAGAGATGAGCAGAGAGACAGGCAGAGAGACGAGAAGCAGAGAGAGAGAGAGAGAGAGGGAGGAGAAGTAGCGAGAGAGACGAGCAGACCGAAGGAGAGAGGAGAGAGAGAGAGAGAGAGGAGGAGAAGGAGGAGAGAGAGGAAGGGGAGAGGGGGAAGAGGAGAAAAAAGGGGGGGGCGTAATAGGGACGAGGAAGAGAAAAAAAGAGAGAGAGGGGAGGGGAGGGGAAAAACAAAGAAAAACAAAATAAAAGTTATAGGGGTAAATATGCTAAAAGATAAATTCAGAAACAAATATTGAAATTTAAAATCAGTACAGTTGAAAGGGTTATAAAATTTGGGCCAATAAGTAGGCTGAAATAGGGTATGCAAATAATAAATAATTTAGATGGTGTATATAATTTATGTATGAGGTTAGATGCAAGAATAATATAACATTTTTAAGATTTTGGTGTAACTAATCAGGTTTTAATTTGGCAGTATGAGGTCTTTTAAAATGCCTTTTAAAGCAGTTTTTTGGGGGGGTTTTGGTTTTTGGACCTAAACGGGAAGCTTTGTAACGCAAAGTTTTACCCGGGGGCCCCCTTTAAAATGAAGAGGCCCCCTGCTTTCAGCAAGATAAAATTTTTAAAATTTTTAAAAAAATCAGGGGTTTTCAGAAAGGGGAAGGGGCGAGTGAAAGCAGATGAGAGAGAGGAAAAAGGGGAGGAGGTGAAAGGGAAAAAGCTCGTTTCTTCCCTCTCTTTCCCCCGAGGATCAAAAAAACCCAAAAAAAAGAAAATACCCAAAAAAGAGAGAAGGGAGGAAGCGAGGGTCGGAAGGGAAAAAGGGAGATTCGGGGGGAGCGGCGAAGAAGGGGAGAGGCGCGAGAGATAAAAAGGAGCAAAAGGGGGGAAGAAGAGAGAGGGCGGGAAAAAGAGAGCAGAAGAAGCAGATAAGAAGAAAGGGGAGAGAAAAAAAAGGAGAGAAAAGAAGAGAGAAGAGAGAAGAGAAGAGAAACAAAAAAAAAAAAAAAAAGAAAAAAGAAAAAAAAAAAAAAAAAAAAAAAAAACAAAAAACAAAAAAAAAAAAAAAAAAAAACAAAAAAAAAGAAAAAAAACAAAACAAAAAAAACAAACAAAAAAAAAAAAAAAACAAAAAACAAAAAAAAAAACAAAAAAAAAAAACAAGAAATATAAAAAAAAGAAACAAAAAAAAAACACCAAAAAAAACAAAAAAAAAAAACAAAACCAAAAAAAAAAGAACACATACAAAAGAAAAACAAAGACAATTCAAAAAAAAAAAAAAGGAAAAAAAAAAAACAAAACGAAAAAAAACAACAAACACCCCAACCCAACATAAGTCCAGAGAAGGAAGCGAAAAAAACAAAGATAGGAACCAAGAAAAGAAGAGAGAAAGAAAAAAAAACCGAGAGAGAAAAACAGCCGACTAAAAAAGCTCAACAAGCAGACAAGAGAGAGAAAAGCAGCAAACCCCAGAACGGAAACCTCCAAAAACCGAAAAAGGAAACTAGGAGTTACGCGATAACCACTATCTCTCTCTATCTCGCTCTCTCTTCTCTATCTCCCCCTCCTCTCCCTCTCCCCCCCCCCCCCTCTCTCTCTCTCCCAGCTTCAACTTTGATTATTGTCAGTTTTTTTATTTTAGTCTTCTATCATTTCAAGTCGGAGCCTGACTCCTGCAGTAATTAAGTACAAAGAACCTTCATCGACATTCACCAGTGCTGATCTACTCACGCTCGGTGCCAAAGCCCTTAGCCGGAAAAATTATAGTAATACTAAACATGGCCTCCGGCATCTCAACATTCGTCAGAACCCGCCTCGACCTTGTGGTCTCCCTGGAACATTCTTTGGAGGTCCAGAGTGGATGCATGCGAGGCTGGGAACATGTTTGAAGAAGTTTCCAGAATCACAATCACTATCATGTTCCGGTTTAGCCTTCCTGTCTTTCAGCGGTTAGCAACGCAGTAAACAGACATCTGTCATCACCTTGCGAACCAGCCTCGGCGCGGCACGTAGATCAACTTGCTTGAACCTTCCGCCAAGACCGAAGGAAAAACACGGTTTAACGTTTTTCATAATGTTACATTGTTGTTATCAGCCTTGTGGTTGTTGGTTAGAGGGATCATGATTGTTTTCCAATGATTTAATAACTGTCTGTGTTTATGTTATCTTTCTTAGGGCAGAATCTGAAATCTAAATCTGTCATTGACATCAGTAGATGAAAGTCTGAGTTATGGGCACAGATCTCAAATTGGGATTCTGCCTTCACTGTATGGCTGGTGTGAGTTTACCTCTCTCTGGTGAGAAAAAGAATGAGAGAGAGTGAAGAGTTGAAGAGGATTGTAAAGGGCTGTGTTTGTCTGTCCGCAGGGGGACCGGGGCCTGGAGGGGCCGAGGGGGCCCAGAGGACAGCCCGGCGCTGGAATCAAAGGAGACAAGGTACAGTATAGGCTGTAAATAAACTAAATCTGCAATAAACAAACACGCAGTGTACCCCAGGAACACATAAAGAGCCTTGGGCAGGGAGTGGCCAGAAGCACTGGTGTCTAGGTCTCATTCAGACTGGGGTTATATATGAGGTCCCTATTGAATCTGTGTGGTGATGAATCACACAGGGGTAAAGGCCTGGGCGCTGTGCCGTGAGAAAGTTCATGGTTAAAGTAAAGGCTGATGTAAAGGGTGCATCTCAATGGTCTGAAGTGGCCTCCTCTCCTCGTCTCATTGCCTTAATTGAAACTGGTATTAAAGATCTGGACAGGTGGACGGAAAGTCCTGGTTCAGAAGGATTCCTGTCTTTTGCTTTCACCTAGTCTGTGTTTTCAGATAAAGGGGAGGAGACAAGGAGAGGAAGCTACTTAACACTATTGAGATGCAGCCTCATTCTACCTGAACAATGTGTGTACTGTCAGAAATAGAATCACGGTCACACTGATTATGTGATATGAATTGATGACATTTATGCCATTATGAATGAAGCAAACACTGATAAAATCCTGGTAGCTGATGATCATTCTAACATTTCTTAAACGTTATGGAAATTGTGTAATTTACATGGAAATTGTGTAATTTACATTTACACCTGAGGTGTTTGTTCTTGGCCCGATTAGTCTTGGCAAGGTTAGCCTTGTTGTGAAATCCATCCTTGGGATAATGGCAATACTTTCATCATATAATGAGGGCAATCCTTCTGCAAGAATGCTGCTAACGGTTTGGATGAATGTTGCAGTTAGCTAACATTCTGTGTTTACGCCATGTACTTTAGCTCTGTTGACACTATAAAGTGAGTCAAGCTGGCATTTTATAGATGAGGCATGCGTGTATTAGTGCTACAATACTGGGTCGTTGGATCTGGAGTTGGTTTACTTTATTGCTATGAAAATAGTCAATTGTGTGAACATTCTCAATATTTAATGGCAGGGAGAAGAGCAGGAGGATTTTTAACACAGTAATTGCGTTATGTTGACTACTTTCCCTTCATTTAATAACAGTTCATGAAAGGGTGATTATCCAAACCAATGTATTAGAATATGTAGTTTATGTACATATACTGTATTTCATGCACTATTCCTGTAACACATCTACAAGCCTGTGTTGGTGTAATTATAGCTATGATGCCAACAACTGCTCTGACTCTCTTTGTGACCCTCAGGGGGGCTTTGGCCCTCCAGGTTTTCCAGGGCCTGTCGGCCTGCCAGGGCTGGGCATTCAGGGGGAGAAGGTACGTAGGTCACCTATTCATTATTACAGGTTTTACCAATAGTTTATGGCTGACTGTCACAATGTGACTACCTTGTGCTTCCTGTCCTACCAGGGTGTAGAGGGGCCTCGGGGGCCACCAGGGGGCAGGGGCCAACAAGGAGATGGATATCCAGGGCCCAAGGTCTGTGTTTTGATGGTTCTTCCTTGACTTTACCGTTTTGATCAATTGTGGTTATTTCATAGTTAGGCTATCACTAATGCTAATGTCTTTGTATGCCACGGGTGCTCCTCTCATCCGCAGGGTGACCAGGGCTTACCAGGGGAGGTTGGTTCAACAGGAGAGAGAGGGGCTGGCGAACCTGGGGCTAAGGTGAGTCCTCCTCCAATGGAAACGCAATGTGTAGTTTGTCCTCGGTGTGGTGTCACATTTAGATATGTAGTCGATGCGATGTGAGACATACAACCAATGATCTCTCTTCAGGGTGAGCCAGGAGCGTCAGGATTGGCTGGTTTTCCTGGCCTCCCAGGAGAGGACGGGGCCCCGGGACAGAAGGTATTTCGTCTTCCGCCATCTCTGCGGCACCATAGGTTGATACTGTACCTCTTTGAATGTGACCATTGGATTCATATGCTTTGATTGTGTGTCTGTTTGTGTTTGTCTATATAGGGGGAACCAGGTGTTGCTGGTCTGAGGGGGCCAGAGGGAGCTGCGGGGATTGGCACTCAGGGTGAGAAGGTAAGAAGATTCCCAGGTTTCCTCCTCAAGATTTTCATCTTCATTCATCTGGTCAGCTGTGGTATTCTGAGGTTGGTTTTCTGTGATGTTTCTTTGACGATTGATGTCTCTCCCCACAGGGAGACCAGGGCCAGAGGGGCATTCGGGGCTTGGGTGGGCCTCCTGGAATTGCTGGGCCCTCTGGAGCAAAGGTGAGGACATTGTCCTCAGTTATCATCAGTCAACACTCTGTACTGTAGTGTATTGTGTTCACACTACGATCTTTGACTTCTAACCTCTGACCTCTTCTAGGGGGAGCCTGGGACACCAGGTCGACTGGGTATGCCAGGACTGCCAGGCCGAGGCATCATAGGACCTAAGGTAACAGCCCTCTGTCCCAAAATGCCTACAATTCACCATGTAGATGAGGTTTATGCCATATCATAACCATGTTGTAACTGTCTCTTAACCATGTTGTAACTCTGTCTGTCTCAGGGCGACCTTGGCCAACCTGGTCCAGCTGGACCATTAGGGGAGACAGGCTACGGGCTGCCTGGTCCTAAGGTGGGACACACTACTAGAATAATAGGGAATAATTAATAGCATTTACTTATTTATCTGAATAATCAGCGTAATTCATTGACGAACTGGTATTTATTTACTTGAATCTTGATGTACTTCTATTTAATCACATAAACTTTTAGGGTGATCGTGGAGGTCCTGGTCCGTCTGGTCCATTCGGGCCCAAAGGCGATGGTTATCCTGGCCCTACGGTGAGCAACACTGCTGCTTATTCATGTGTTGCTGCTATTGCATGAGTTGTACCAGAGTTGACCCTAGTGTTTGCCTGTGGTTTGTAGGGATCTCCTGGTCTACCGGGGCTTCCTGGTGAACCAGGCCTTGAGGGGCTGGGCATCCCTGGACCAAAGGTAAAGATATGGTTCTGTGTGAGGGTGTCAGAGCTGGGTTATTTTGGCTAGTAACAACAGCCCTGGGTGAACAGAAGGCCTCCATTAGCAGAGGACATCATGATATCTGCGTGTTTTCTCCCATCTAGGGTGATATTGGCTTCAGGGGCTTGCCAGGTTTAGCAGGCCCCCCAGGCGAGGGGCAACAAGGACTACCGGTATGTATTGTAGTCTATGACATGAAGAAGCTAACCCCTGCTAAACAGTTGGCAAAGAATCAATCCTAGCTCTGATGCGAACCCATTTACCCTTGTTCAGCACCATGACAAACCGACTGACTCATGGTGATCGATACTACTATTACCTCATGCTGGCAGACTCCACATTTCAGATCCATCTTGTACATGTGAACACCTATCCCCAGGGAGCTTGTATTCAAAGGCTGCGATAATAAGCGTTTCATTCTTACGGGACATTTATCATTTTCACACACTTCCACAACGTGTGAATATATCCCAACATATGCATCTAATGAGAACCATTGGGGCCAGGGTGCCTATAACCAACACAATACCCAGAACCTGCAGTCTAGCTTATAATATTACATCCAGGTTTCTCTTTAGGCTTTTCATCTCCTATAGCCCCAGAAGCCCTAGGGAGCGGGCAGACCTGAGGGTTTGAGGTAGCCCTGTCCGTCACAGCAGTAGGTCTGCTCTCATATAGTAAGCTCACTAATATGTGTCAGACTATGAACAGTAAAGCCAGAGACACTCAAGCTGTGAAACTACCTGCTCGTGAAACGGCTGCCCTGTGAAATCAGGTCACTTTTTAAGTCTAGGTTTGTTAAGTGAAATGTGAAGGGTTCGTCCCTTAGCTTAGCTTATTTAGCGTGACTAACTAGGTTTGACACAGGAGGTGCAGTGTGGTTGAGCTGTGTTGTGTTGTACTGACACTTTTTCATTGCTATTGTAAATATGGTTATAACTTCTGCTCATTTCTAGGGTGGCATTGGGCGACCGGGCCCCCCAGGGCCAACGGGACCCCCTGGGCAGGGTATTCAGGGGCCAAAGGTAGGTCTCGCTCTTGTTTTCAGGTGGTACTTCTATAGTAATTCAAAACAAGCAAGCAAACAAAATGTTTCTTGTTTCTTTAAAATGTTGTGTTGAGCATGTCAAATATTCTCTGTATTTTATGGACCCTTTCAGGGCGAGGCAGGGTTTCAGGGCGTGACTGGCCCTCGGGGGCCACCAGGGGAAGGATTCCCAGGGGCCAAGGTGAGGAAAGACACAGTGGTTTGAAGCATACGGCAGTGTATTTGAGCTTTTGTGACCTCTGACCTTGTGTTATCTGGCTCCATGACAGGGTGACCGCGGCTCTGGAGGGGAGAGGGGCCTGAAGGGGGTCAAAGGTGATTTGGGAAACCCTGGAGCTCCTGGCCAATCAGTGAGTCTCGTCATGGGTCGCTTTTATAATCAATGAAGGGCGATTCATTTGATAACAGGGTTGCAGGCTGTAATAAACAATGAACTGCAATCAGAATAGAAACTGATCAGACCAATGTTTTACTGCTCCCTTTAGGGCAGACCAGGATTCAAAGGCGAGATGGGCCTCACAGTAAGTTCTCAGTCTTTAGCCATCTTTTGATTTCACATAGGCTTTTTGATTCCATTTAGTCACCATGTCAATCCTGATTTTGACCCACAGAGAGAAGACATCATTAAAATGATCAAGGAGATTTGTGGTAAATAAAACATAATTTGTTGTGCTTGTGTAAAATAATTTACCATTGATTGCAACATACAGTAGGCCTTGTTGAGAGTGCATTGGAAAACATCCTTTCGACGTCAGAATCGTATATCTTTGCATTATTTCCAGGTTGCGGCATCAAATGCAAGGTGCGGCCCATGGAGCTGGTGTTCGTCATCGACAGCTCGGAGAGCGTGGGGCCGGAGAACTTTGAGATCATCAAGGACTTTGTGGCGGCCCTGGTGGACCGTGTGACGGTGGGCCGAAACGCCACCCGCATCGGCCTGGTCCTCTACAGCCTGGAGGTCAAGCTAGAGTTCAATCTGGCGCGCTACATGAACAACCAGGACGTCAAACAGGCGATAAGAAATATCCCTTATATAGGTGAGGGCACCCACACGGGCACCGCCATCCGCAAGGCCACCCAGGATGCCTTCTACAGCTCGCGCAAGGGTGTCAGTAAAGTGGCTATAGTTATTACGGACGGACAGACGGATAAGCGGGAGCCGGTGAAGCTGGATATCGCGGTGCGGGAGGCGCACGCAGCCAACATCGAGATGTACGCATTGGGGATCGTGAATACGTCGGACCCCACGCAGGCTGAATTCCTGAGGGAGCTCAACCTGATCGCGTCGGACCCTGATAGTGAACACATGTACCTCATTGATGACTTCAACACGCTGCCAGGTAAGGCAAAACGCCATGTTGGTTTTACATTGTTGGTTGGGTTAACGTGTTGGTGTAGTTTCAAAAGAGTGATTCCTCATGAAACCCAGACAAAAAAAGAACAGGATTTGGGGGATTTTCACTAAATGTAATCCATAGAATAGTCCTTTGCAGGAAGGATTGTTGACATATATTTCACATTTGTATCTAAAAGCATAATTGAGAAATAATTTATCAAAGTTGGCATATTTATGACCCATGAGACATTTAAGACCCCATAGTGTTTCATCTGTAGGTGCTACAAAGCAAACATTGGTGTCAGATGAAGCTTTAGGTCTACCCATTACAATGTTAGTTGAATGTTGAATGGCCTTAGTATGTATTGTCCTCCGGAGTTGTTCCTGGTCAGCTGACATAGTGAAGAAAAACTCCTGCCCCTACATTAGCAGTAGGTCTACTGTTATTGTACGGTATACTCAGTAAAAATGTACCAAGTTAACTGCATTAAGTTGCCGTGAAGTCTCAAAGGCTAATCCCAGTACAATGTGATTAATCACCTGTTCCCAGTCATCACAACTCCTGTTACTCTGTCGCTCCCTCTCAGCTCTGGAGTCCAAGCTAGTTAGCAAGTTCTGTGAAGACGAGAACGGTGCTCCTATATACAACCGTGTCACCAACGGCTACGGCAACAACGGATACAGGAACGGGAACAATGGGAACTATGACAACGGGAACTATGGCAATGGCTATGGGACCACCAACCAGGAGGACTTCAACAACGGGAGGCGAACAGTCACCACTACCGGAACAGGCACTCAAAGTCAGGGTGGCAGGGTAGCCCTAACCCAGCCTATCAACCCTAGCACTGCCACAGTACAGGTCTTTACAGCACATGAACAGACATTTAACAGAGGCACTAACCAGAAAACAACCTACTGTCAATGTATAGTTGGCATGACTTGTATGTTCCATTGAACTAATGAACTTTACTCACTACTTTACTCCATTGAACTCACTATAGTAACACTGGGCTTGTTACTCTGTTTCAGGCTTTAAAACTGTCTTTGTGTTTTGTTACAAATTGACAATACGGGAAGGGCTTTGTTGGTCCTCATAGTTTTCCTTGTGTGTTTGTTTTCCTCTGGCTCCAGATAGGGCAGCGTGAGGGAGGCCAGGATGGAGGTATTTACAACCCAGATTCGGGGACTGGTCGCGGGGACGTTCCCACGTTGAACCGCAACACGTCCTCCTCCTCCAGGGAATCCTCATCTTCCAATACAGGAGGGTCCTCTTCCTCTTCATCATCATCATCATCAGGAACATCATCTTCATCCTCAGGGTCCTCAGGCTCTGTCCAGTTAGTGCCTGCACCACGACCCGCACTTCCCAAAGGTATGTTGGACCCACTGCCAACAACAGCTATATCTATGTAGTCATAGCAGTCTACCCTGTGTCTGTTCATTAAACTAAAGGATTGAATCATATGAGCCGTTCAGATTACTACAAAGCCTGTTGAAATCAGTTACTGAATGATTCCAACTGAAATTGACCCCAATTGTGTTGACGCTTTAGCTATATCTGCCAATGAACAGAATCAGTATACTAGTGTGCCGTGGCCCTTACATCCTGATACAACGTCTGTTTCTTAAGTGGGCCTTCACTAACAGCCTTCTCTCTTTGTTCTGCCGGGTCAGAGTTTGTTCCTCTGGACCCTCGCTGTGCACTGGTCCTAGACCAGGGCCCGTGTCGGGACTACAAAATGCGCTGGTACTATGACAAGCAGGCCAACTCCTGCGCCCAGTTCTGGTACGGCGCCTGTGAGGGAAACCAGAACCGCTTCGACACGGAGGAGGAGTGCAAGAGGACATGTGTGCAAGGCCGAGCGGGTACTGTATAGCTCATCTTTCAATGATTTTTGGATTCCGTTTGTTGAATATTCATCAAGTATGGGATTTTGTATGATTGTTTTCATGTGTTTTCTTCACAACAGGCTGAGAAGCCGCATCTGCTGTGCATCCGTCATTGTCTCGCTCAATTCAGTCTTTAAACTGATGTTCCATGGCACCATGTACTTCACAATGGATGGAGGTCAAGTCATGACACTATGTTGTACCAGTTGAATAAATGCTCCTTTGACACTCCCTAGTTCCCCTCTCCCTTGAACTAAAACTCTAAGCACTTATTATAAATATTCCTATACTAATTCCAGTGACTGATTTGAACTTTAATTTTACCTCCAATCTCTGTATAATGTTTCATTAAAGGTCCAATGCAGCCGTTTAAAAAAAATCTCTATATCAAATCATTTCTGGGTAACAATTAAGTACCTTACTGTGATGGTAAAATATTTAAAAAAAATAGCATCTTACCAAAGAGCAATTTTGCTAGGACTATCTGGGAGTGATCTGAGTGGCAGTGGAAAACCGAAAACTAGCTTTTATTGGCAGAGAGTTTTGGAACTCTCTTTTTTTATTGGTCTATTAACTAATTTACCGCCTGGTGTTGTCACCATGGAAGGCCAAAACTCCATCCCACCAAAACAAGCTGAAATTGCAGGCGGTCTTTCAAACAGCTCTTTCACAGTAATATCCCAACCTCATAACGTGGAAATGTACTGGATAGAAAACACAGGAACATCTCGTTTTTGACTACACTGGGCCTTTAACATAACATTACCATTTTCATTCTGAATGAATGGATTGCTCATCCTATAACATCGTTTTAACAGACAATTCTTTCAATATCACTCAGGTATGTAGTCATGAAATAGTAGAAAATGCCACTTGCTTTGTTAGACACTGATTCACTGATTAATTAATACATACATGCTTCCAGTGCCAAATCAGTATGGTCTATATACTTTTTGATAGCATCAGTATGTATTGTATATCTCACCTCATAATCACTTTATGCTGATCACTGATTTTATATTGTTAACATGATTGTAATATCTGCATTGTTCAAACTGAGGAATAACAACATTGGTGCCATAACGTGTTCCTGCAATAATGCTATTCATCTAGTATGTGAACCCAGTATGAACACGTTTACAGACACTACGAGCAACTAATATCATATCCAAGAAGAACCAACCCTGTATCAACTCAGTAGGCTGTCAACAAACCGTGCTAGGAAATGACAGCAATGCTCTATCGTTCATTTCTAGGGATAGTTTTGTGCATTTGAATGTGTTGTTTTTTTACCTAGATTTGTATTAATAAAAATGTGATTTTGTTTTATGTTTGTATGAATTTGCGATGTATATCATACAAGTACATTACCGTACAGTTTTCTACATTCCAGTTGTTACCATATATTTCACACTGGTTCATACAGATTATACTGTAGTTGTATTGTGTCCTCTGCTGGTGAAAAGTTGCCTTGCCTGAAACACACTAGAAACGAGGGTTCGTCAAGGATTCTGTGGGAAGGGTTATGGTTCTATGTGGAACCATAATGACTCAAATAACTCTTTGAGCTCTTCAATGGTCCTTTACAGTTCTCAAAAGGGTTCTTTGCTCTTTTAGTGATAATTAAAACGTAGGTGCGCAGGCTCATTCGAATATGTTGGGGTGTGGTTTGCGCACAGCTCTTTTTGTGCAACCGTGAGTGAGAGTGTCATTCCAGTCGATCTAATGTGTTGTGTTATGCCATTATATATGACTATGTCCAGTTTCAGTGTCTTGTAAGACTCATGTATAGCCTTGTCAATTGAGAGTGGTTTCCTAAATATCCTCAGCGACCCCCAGCTGTTCCAGAGGTAGCTCACTTGATTCAACTTGTCACTAAACACAATAATAACAGCTATAGAACTTTAACAATATAATATGGCTGACCAGAATAAAAAAAAACCTGTATGGTTCTTCAAAGTTATCTACAAAGAACCTTTTAGATTGATAAAGGTTCTTTATAGAACCATTCTCCATAAATGTTCTATAAAGAACCATAAAAGGGTTCTATATAGCCCCAAAAAGGGTTGTAACCATAGCAGAATCCTTTTTTGGTGCTATTTAGAACCTTATTTAAAGGGTTTAGGAAAGGAACGGGGCGGCAGGTAGCTTAGTGGTTAAGAGCGTTGTGCCAGTAACCGAAAGGTCGCTGGTTCTAATCCCCGAGCAGACTAGGTGAAAAATCTGTTGATGTGCCCTTGAGCAAGGCACTTAACCCTAATTGCTCCTGTAAGTCACTCTGGATAAGAGCGTCTGCTAAATGACTAAAAATGTAAAATATAGCACCAGAAAGGGTTCCGTTATAGTTACAAGCCAAAGAACCCCTTTCTGGTACTATCTAGAACCATTCCTTTTTTAGTGTGTAATGGCTCTTCCAACGTGCACGTGTTACTACTATAGGCAAATTCAATCAAGTTTGATAGAGATCACACTTACATTGTTGTTTTAACTATGACCATTTCTTCTGACAATCTATTTGATAGATAGAGAACCGTTTTGAGATGTCAATCGTTTGTGAAACCTGTCCTATAGAAATGGATAGTGTATCTGTCTACAAATGCATCATGCTCTGAGAAAATGACTTTTCATAGAGAGTAAATAAACGCCTGTGAATGTAACTAAACCACTTAATATTTTCATCAATACAAACAAGATTAATGTACTTTGAAAGTATTCTCTAAATTTCACTTTCTATGAACTTAGGAACCTCTTCCTGTAGCCACGGCAATCCATAGGTATCCATTTCTAATATTGGCGAGGTGACACTGCTGTCTGTGCACTACACTATATTTATATTACATGTGAGACACTCCACTCCTGACCAAATGGTCTATCTTTAGTGTCGTCAATGACAGTGTCCACACTGCCACCCAACTCCAAACACTTTGACTTATAATCAAGCGAAGTTTAACTTCTATATATTTCATCTCTAGGCACACAAGTTTTATAGAGATGAAAGCCTACTCTGAGAGGACAGTGTAATTCAGGACAAAGTGACTATTTTCAGGACTTGAAGTTGAATGCCCCGCCCCCTGTCAGCAGTCCTATGACCCCCCAGAACAATTAAGGGAAAATGAGGAGGAGTGCTGATAGGTGGAGAGGTCTGTCTGTCTGACAGCTGCTGCTGCTCAACGCTCCTCAACTTTTCTCAACCTTCCTCAGTAGAATCCAAGTCTAGTCAGTCTTAGGGCTAAATTCAATCAAAACGACAGTACATTGTATTTTGCACAGTAGCATAGGGACATAATATCCTAGAATCCGCTTTAAATATTTGAATTGAGAGACACCCTAGCTTGTATGTCTGTTTGGAAATGAATGAATGGGAATGAATGAATGAAAAAACATGTCACAAAAGTTAACATCCTTTGAAATTATTTAAAGCTACTGAGATACAGGGTGGAGACACTGGTCTAAACAACCAATATTGGGTTAATAACCAGTAGCTTTGACAACATTATCCCTCTTTAGCCACTACTAAACCAATGACAGTGTTGAGGCTGAATCATGGTAGTGGGCTATACCCCGGACACCCCAGTTGCTTCTTTCAGTCCGTGACAGCTGTATGAGTCGGGCTCCGCATTCAGATTTGGCAGAGCTGAGATTCCTACCGGCTGAGGCAGGCAGGCGGCTATATTTAGAGGGGAAAGGATTAAATTGCAGTAGGCAGTGGGGGCTTCAGGCTGGGAACCTTTTCTCTGCTCAGCCTTTTCTAGCCTGGACTGGGTGCCAAGAGGACCTGTGGCCACCATTTCTTCCCCTTCGCAAGCCACCATTTTCCCCACACCATGGACCCCAAAGCCATCAAGGAGGAGCTGCGCCTCTTCCAGAGCACCTTGCTCCAGGATGGCCTCAAGGAGCTGCTGAACGAGAACAAGTTTGTGGACTGCACGCTGAAAGTGGGCGACCGGAGCTTCCCCTGCCATAAACTCATTATGGCTGCCTGCAGCCCATACTTCAGGGAGATCTTCTTCTCTGAGGACGGCAAGGAGGTAGAGGCCACCAAGGAGGTGGTCCTGGACGATGTCAATCCCTCCATCTTGGACATGATCATCACCTATCTGTACTCGGCCGAGATTGACCTCACCGACGACAATGTGCAGGACATATTTGCCGTGGCCAATCGTTTCCAGATTCCTTCAGTCTTCACCGTGTGTGTTAACTATCTTCAGAAGAAGCTCTCCGTGACCAACTGTCTGGCAATCTTCAGGATGGGTCTGGTCCTCAACGTTCCCAGGTTGGCAGTGTCCGCCCGCGACTACATCGCAGACCGCTTCGAGATCCTCTCTAAAGACGAGGAGTTCCTCCAGCTGGCCGCTCATGAACTGTTCGCTGTCATTGGTGGCGACTCGCTCAATGTGGAGAAGGAGGAGACAGTGTTCGAAGCCCTCATGAAATGGGTCCGCAACGACAAGGACAAACGCGTCCAGGTACTGGGTGACGCCTTCGAGTGCATCCGCTTCCGCCTCATGCCCGAGAAATACTTCCATGACAAAGTGGAGACGGATGAGATCATCAAGGCCAACCCGGAACTCCTGAAGAAGGTCCAGATTATCAAAGACGCGTTCCAGGGGAAACTCCCAGAGAAGAAGGAGAAGGTAGCTGGGGATGAGGGGGCGGAGGGCGAGGGTAGCGAGGCAGAGGATGTTTTCCCAGGTTTCCTGAACAATAACCGTCGCCACGGCATGTACGTCCGCGACCTGATACTGATGATCAACGACACCGCAGCGGTGGCATACGACGTCAACGAGAACGAGTGTTTCCTGGCGGCCATGTCGGAACAGATCCCCCGGAACCACGTCAGCCTAACGTCACAGAAGAACCAGCTCTACCTCATCGGAGGACTGTTTGTGGATGAGGAGGACAAGGACGCTCCCCTGCAGTGCTACTTCTATCAGGTAACCATTTAGAGTTTGGGTCACTCTTTTGATGGTTTCAAATCTTCTATTGGTAATATTTGCCTTTTCTAATCTACGTTAGCTCACTATGTAACATCGCCAAAAGTCTTTGTTTGATGTTAGAATAAAATGATGTCAATAGCACAAAACGCTGTCTTTATTCATAATATTTATTCATAACAGATGAATGCAGGCATTCATTCATTCATTCATTCATTCATTCATTCATTCATTCATTCAACCCTTTGTATTTCAGTTGGACACTCTTGCAGCTGACTGGGTAGCTCTTCCCCCCATGCCTTCCCCTAGAGCTCTTTTCAACATGGGAGAGTGTGAGAACCTGCTGTTCGCTATTGCTGGAAAAGACCTCCAGAGCAACGAGTGTTTGGACTCTGTGATGTGCTATGATGTCCAGTGAGTGGAATAGCATTCAATATGTCTCATTCACTCAGTACAGTAGAAAGATATAGGACTTCTCAGCGCCTCTCTCTACCATGTGTGTTTTGACCCTCCTGTTCTGTAATGGCTTTCCCCAGGAAGATGAAGTGGAGTGAGACCAAAAAGCTTCCCCTGAAGATCCACGGCCATTCTGTGGTCTCCCATAAGGGTCTGGTGTACTGCATTGGAGGAAAGACTGATGACAAGTATGTGTGTGTGTGTGTGTGTGTGTGTGTGTGTGTGTGTGTGTGTGTGTGTGTGTGTGTGTGTGTGTGTGTGTGGTCTTGTTCCTCTATCCTTGTGGGGACCTGAATTCCCCCAAAGTCCCCACAAGGATAGTAAAACAAGGACAATTCTCTCACGTGGGGACATTTCCCACATCTCCATGAAGACAAAGGCTATTTTAAGCTTAGGTGTTACGTTTAGGGTTTGGGTTACAATTAGGGTTAGGCGTTAGGGTTATGGTTAGGTTCAGGGGTTAAGGTTAGGTTAGGGCTAGGGTTAGGGGTTAAGGAAAATAGGATTTTGAATGGAAATAAATATTTGGTTCCCACGACGATAGAAAAAGTGTGTGTGTGTGTGTTGTGTGTGTCTGTGTGTGTGTGTGTGTGTGCGTGCGTGTGTCGTGCTAAAGATATGGTGTGAGCTGCAGCTGTTTGTAGTCTATCATTATAAGAACTGAGCATGCTAGACCATAGAGCTAGTGTAGAAGTCATTATTTTGATTATGGAACTACACATGGTAAAATATACAGTTATTCAAACGTGACCGTAGTGAAAATAATGTATTCTTTGGGTTACATGTAAAGCAGTGGAGGCTGCTGAGGGGAGGACGGCTCATAATAATGGCTGTAATGGAGTCAATGGAATGGTATCAAACACATGGAAACCACGTCTTTGATGTGTTTGATACCATTCCATTTGCTCCATTCCAGCCACTATTATGAGCCGTCCTCCCCTCAGCAGCCTCCACTGCATGTGAGCCCATACAGTCTTACATGTTGTCTGATTTACTGAATCCTAACCGTAACTAAATCCATCACAGTCTTTCTATACTGCTTTCCTGAGATCTGACAACCCTGTCTATCGTTCTCCTGCGCAGCAAAGCCCTGAACAAGATGTTTGTATACAACCACAAGCAGTCGGAGTGGAGGGAGCTGGCTGCCATGAAGACAGCCAGAGCCATGTTCGGAGCCGTCGTTCACAACGGAAAGATCGTGGTGGCTGGTGGAGTCAACGAGGAAGGCCTCACTGCTGCATCTGAAGTCTACGACTTTGGAACAAACAAGTATGTAGCATTTTCTTTGGTGATAAATCAGTTTACGAACTTGTTACACCTTTTAATATCACTCTTCATAACACCATTTGCTGGTTCTGGATGGTAAACGTTATTAGTCATCTTGAGTCAGGATGGCCTTAATTATAATGAGTCCCCCTGACGGTATCCCTAATGAACTTCTTTCCCAGATGGGAGGAGTTCACAGAATTTCCCCAGGAGAGGAGCTCAGTGAACCTGCTGAGCAGTGAGGGGGCCCTGTACGCCGTAGGAGGCTTCACCATCATCCAGAATGATAACAAGGAGGTGGTCCCCGCAGAGGTCACTGATGTTTGGCAGTAAGTCCCCTCTTTTAATGTTATTATGTTATTGACCGGGATTCAAACCGAGGTCTTCTTCATGCATGCAACAGGACTGTGTTAGCCCATTGTGCTAAAGCCTAGGCAGTAGCTCGGTGAGCCAACACAAGTTCACATTGTTCAACCCTGTTTGTTTTGGGTTTGTTTGTTTCCATTTCCATTCCTGTGGACAAGAAAGTAGAACTTATTCATCTTAGTTCAATTATAATAATTTGTTATAGAAATGTATGATAAGAAATAAAGGTAAAGCTACATCAAAAATAAAGGAGAGGGCCCTACTTGGTCAGTGGTACTGTACAAACAATCAACTACGTCTTGTTCTGTTCCTCATCACTGTATCTTCCTTTTCCCTGTGTTAGGTACGAGGAGGACAAGAAGGAATGGAGCGGGATGCTGAGGGAGATGCGTTACGCCGCCGGCTCCTCCTGCGTATCCATGCGCCTCAACGCTGCCAAGATGCCCAAACTCTAGACCCTAGCTGCCCCCTGTGATGCCCTCTGTCTGCCCGGACAACCACCATCTTCTCTGGGTAGTCTTTCCATTTCAGGAATAGAGGCGGTGTCACTGTTACATGACAGCTCAAATGTGGACTCTTATTGGTTGATTGTGTCGTGAGTTTCTGTTTGTCTCTCTCTGATCTCAGGTGGATTTCTGTACAATAAAAACCACATCTACTTTGCTTCAGTGAAGACCGCATCAGTATATTAGTTTCCTTCATTATAGAGTAACCCACAATGTGTATTTAGCTAGCTTTTTTTGTAAAATAAATATTTGTTCAAAAACTCCTGTTTTGGTGGTTTTGAGTTTAGAGTAACAGTAGCCATTTTTATGGCTAGTTTAGTTCAAACATTTGTCTGCGCATAGCACTCATGTTTTACGAGATTCAGGTCGAAGATATGGAAAATGACGTAATGAAATCTAGGTGAGAGCCGGTTGGTATAGTAAAAACAAACAGGTTAAACACCAACTCATAGGCCGGTTTAAACAACTGTCCTGCATTGTGCATGTGTCATCCCAACACTGTAGGTCACAGTAGATTTCCACAGTAGGTTTGACATACAGTAGGTTCATCTCCGTAACCCACGGTGGTGGAAAAAGTACCCAACTGTCATACCTTAATAGAAAATGACTCAAGTAAAAGTGAAAGTCACCCAGTAAAATACTACTTGAGAAAAAGTCTAAAAGTATTTGGATTTAAATATACTTTAGTATCAAAAGTAAATGTAATTGTTAAAATATACTTAAGTATCAAAAGTAAAAGTAAAAGTATAAATCATTTCAAATTCCTTATATTAAGCAAACCAGACGGCACAATTTCCTTCTCTTTTTTATTTGCGGATAGCCAGGGGCACTCTCCAACACTCCGACATAATTTACAAACAAAGCATTCGTGTTTCGTGAGTCCGCCAGATCAGAGGCAGTAGGGATGACCAGGGATGTTCTCTTGATAAGTGTGTGAATTGGACCATTTTCCTGTTCTGCTAAGCATTCAAAATGTAATGAGTACTTTTGGGTGTCAGGGAAAATGTATGGAGTAAAAAGTATATTATTTTCTTTAGGAATGTAGTGAAGTAAAAGTAAAAGTAGTCAAAAATATAAATAGTAAAGTAAAGTACAGATACCCAAAAAACTACTTAAGTAATACTTTAAAGTATTTTTACTTAAGTACTTTACACCACTGGTAACCCAGAACTGGAAATGTCTATGTTACGTAGTCTGTCCTAGAGATTAATTGTAGGTGAACTTGACACCAAAACTCTAGGAACAAATGCCACATTCACCACAAAGAATTATAGGAGCATATGTTTTACTTTTGTAAATGTGGGCACGTTCACTAGATCAGAACTACCTCTAGACACCCTTTACATTCATGATTTGAACTTGAACTGTAATATTACTAAATACTTATAACCACCACAGATTTTGACTGTTTTCACCAACATCCATTTCTGGTTAACTAATGTCTGTCATCAACATGCATCAAGCATATCAACCAGCAGGCTGATGCCAAATTCAGGACATGTGACATCATAATACAGTACAGTAACACTAAGCCACTAAACCACTAGCACTGAGGGGTGATAACGCTGCTCAATGTACTCCACGTTATTCCTCCCTCTACAGTGAGGGAAAAAAGTATTTGATCCCCTGCTGATTTTGTACGTTTGCCCACTGACAAAGAAATTATCAGTCTATAATTTTAATGGTAGGTTTATTTGAACAGTGAGAGACAGAATAACAACAAAAAAATCCAGAAAAACGCATGTCAAAAATGTTATAAATTGATTTGCTTTTTAATGAGGGAAATAAGTATTTGACCCCCTCTCAATCAGAAAGATTTCTGGCTCAGGTGTCTTTTATACAGGTAATAAACTGAGATTAGGAGCACACTCTTAAAGGGAGTGCTCCTAATCTCAGCTTGTTACCTGTATAAAAGACACCTGTCCACAGAAGCAATCAATCAATCAGATTCCAAACTCTCCACCATGGCCAAGACCAAAGAGCTCTCCAAGGATGTCAGGTACAAGATTGTAGACCTACACAAGGCTGGAATGGGCTACAAGACCATCGCCAAGCAGCTTGGTGAGAAGGTGACAACAGTTGGTGCGATTATTCGCAAATGGAAGAAACACAAAATAACTGTCAATCTCCCTCAGCCTGGGGCTCCATGCAAGATCTCACCTCGTGGAGTTGCAATGATCATGAGAATGGTGAGGAATCATCCCAGAACTACACGGGAGGATCTTGTCAATGATCTCAAGGCAGCTGGGACCATAGTCACCAAGAAAACAATTGGTAACACACTACGCCGTGAAAGACTGGAATCCTGCAGCGCCCGCAAGGTCCCCTTGCTCAAGAAAGCACATATACAGGCCCGTCTGAAGTTTGCCAATGAACATCTGAATGATTCAGAGGAGAACTGGGTGAAAGTGTTGTGTTCAGATGAGACCAAAATCGAGCTCTTTGGCATCAACTCAACTCGCCGTGTTTGGAGGAGGAGGAATGCTGCCTATGACCCCAAGAACACCATCCCCACCGTCAAACATGGAGGTGGAAACATTATGCTTTGGGGGTGTTTTTCTGAGAGAACCTCCTTCCCTCAGCCAGGGCATTGAAAATGGGTCGTGGATGGGTATTCCAGCATGACAATGACCCAAAACACACGGCCAAGGCAACAAAGGAGTGGCTCAAGAAGAGGCACATTAAGGTCCTGGAGTGGCCTAGCCAGTCTCCAGACCTTAATCCCATAGAAAATCTGTGGAGGGAGCTGAAGGTTCGAGTTGCCAAATGTCAGGCTCGAAACCTGAATGACTTGGAGAAGATCTGCAAAGAGGAGTGGAACAAAATCCCTCCTGAGATGTGTGCAAACCTGGTGGCCAACTACAAGAAACGTCTGACCTCTGTGATTGGCAACAAGGGTTTTGCCACCAAGTACTAAGTCATGTTTTGCAGAGGGGTCAAATACTTATTTCCCTCATTAAAATGCAAATCAATTTATAACATTTTTGACATGCGTTTTTCTGGATTTTTTTGTTGTTATTCTGTCTCACTGTTCAAATAAACCTACTATTAAAATTATAGACTGATCATGTCTTTGTCAGTGGTCAAACGTACAAAATCAGCAGGGGATCAAATACTTTTTTCCCTCACTGTATTTAACTGCTGCACAGGAATTATGTACTGTACCCATAGTGAAGAGGAAGTACTACTGTACTTCCAGTATATGTTAAATAGTTTACTGTCAAATACAACTGAAATATGATCTGAGTTCTTTGTGCGTAAGTGTTCTATGCAGAAGTCAATGAGGTCACGCCCAAAAAAGGCACAGTGCGTGACATGCTTGGGTTTTCCCGTAGTGGGGGCCAGACAGTGCTGTAGGAGGTTAATGCAGCTGAAAGGAGGGACCAGAGGTGGCTGATGTTTAGGAAAGAGGAGGAGGGGGAAAGTCTCACAGAGGACACCGATGACTGAGGGAGCAGCACTGACTGACTGACTGACTGACTGTAAGTTGCAATATCACTAACTGTATCTCTAGCCTTGTTTATACCTGGCGCTAACATGCGTCCTTTGTCCTGACCTTATCCACATTCTTATTGTGCCCACATTGTAGTTGTTGCATCTACCCATTTTATTAAAATGTGTCTCTTCTCCGTTCACTTTGTCCGCATTGTGACCAGATTTCCTGCTGCCTCCCAGTATGCAGATTGTTTAACAGATATTCTGTGTTGACTGTGGTAGAAGTAGGCCTAATAGCAGGGATCGTTACTGTTGGTAGGTTCTACAGTCCTGCGGAGTTTCATCACATTTGACCAATCGGAAATGCCTGTGACTCTACAAATGTGTTGGATGCATTTGCTGTTTGTTTTGGTTGTGTTTCAGACAATTTTGTACTCAAAAGAAATGAATGGAAAATAATGTATTATGTCATTTTGGAGTCACTTTTATTGTAAATAAGAATAGAATATGTTTCTAAACACTTCTAAATGAATGTGGATGTCACCATTGTAGAATAGAATTCACTTCGTCTGAGGATGATGTACTATCTGACAACATTACTATGTGAAGGCTATTGGCCCATAATCGTATCCAGTGGGTATAGCCAAGGTTGTGAGCCTTGCATCACCACTCGGAATACTATAAGATGCACATGGCTAGGTTTACCGTTATGCAATTATTAACAGGCTAAGGAACAAGGAGCTAATATCTTTCAATCAATGTCCTAGCATTAAATTATTGAGTTAACCTTAGCTCAGAGATGCACAGTTAGAGACCGAGCATATATGCTATGTGTATTGTGAATAACATTTACCATTAGACATTTCACCAAATAATAATTCAAGGAATATTACTCAGAAATGTGAGGACTACGGATCGTATCCATTTAAAAGTAATCAGATTTATTGCAGTTACGCAATAGGAATACAATTAGCAAATGGTACATACCAGAAATCTTCACAATAAAAAGAATACAAAATGTCCTAAGTCTTAACAACTCACTACTATGACATACAAACGTACATCAGGAGATCGGTTTACCAATGACTCCATGATCAATGTTTAAACCCATCTTTTATTCTTCGAAGAGCGCTGAATCCCAGTATCTACCATCGTCTAATTAACATCGTTTTGCATGGCCCAAAACATTAAAACAAAAGGCATAAAACTTCACACGCATTCTCTAATCTAATCACCACATCTCAACACTGTATGGTAAGAGCAAACCCCTGTGTCGCTCCTCTTTTAACTATCCGCTGTAGGATGAACAGTAACAATAAATCCATAGCAGTTACAGTACAATAAAATATATCATAATTCATAGCTCTTTATGAACTCTTGAAACAATCCAAACATGATCATTTAATTCACACAGTTAAATTAATTTCATCGATTCAAGTTTCATCAGTCTTCACCTCTCCTTGCTTCAGTGACCTTAGGACTTCTATGTGAATTTCTCTTCATCGAGATTGACCCAGATAAGGTGTGTTTGACCCCTGTGATAGCCCACAGATGGTCTGTCACTCAAACAATGCCATAAATGGAGATTGAATCATCACGCTGGGCCTCGGCGCCAGCAAATCGCTAAACGCATCTTCATCACCATCGTTCACATTAGTTCACTCTCTCTATTTCCGACTACAGTAATCCCCCGTTTGGCACGTCTGGGTTGTGAAAGAACCAGAGGTACCATAGCGAAAGAAGTAGAAGTACGAAGAGAGGTGATCTAATGTCTGCAATTGCAACACTGTACTAAAGTTACCACTAGCAGGCTTGCCAAGACGCA